GTGGGATGTATGGAGGACGGATGGATGGATGGATGGTGGATGAATGGTGGATGGGTGGATGGATGACGGATGGATGGATGGATGGATGGGTGGATGGATGGTGGAGGGATGAATGGATGGATGGTGGAGGGATGGATGGATGGGTGGATGGTGGATAGATGGATGGATGGTGGATGGAGGGATGGTGGATGGTGGATGGATGGATGGTGGATGGATGGATGGATGGTGGATGGATGGATGGTGGGTGGGTAGATGGCGGATGGATGGATGGTGGATGGATGGATGGTGGATGGATGGATGGTGGGTGGGTAGATGGCGGATGGATGGATGGTGGATGGATGGATGGTGGATGGATGGATGGTGGGTGGGTAGATGGCGGATGGATGGATGGTGGATGGATGGATGGTGGATGGATGGATGGTGGGTGGGTAGATGGCGGATGGATGGATGGTGGATGGATGGATGGTGGATGGATGGATGGTGGGTGGGTAGATGGCGGATGGATGGATGGTGGATGGATGGATGGTGGATGGATGGATGGTGGGTGGGTAGATGGCGGATGGATGGATGGTGGATGGATGGATGGTGGATGGATGGATGGTGGGTGGGTAGATGGCGGATGGATGGATGGTGGATGGATGGATGGTGGATGGATGGATGGTGGGTGGGTAGATGGCGGATGGATGGATGGTGGATGGATGGATGGTGGATGGATGGATGGTGGGTGGGTAGATGGCGGATGGATGGATGGTGGATGGATGGATGGTGGATGGATGGATGGTGGGTGGGTAGATGGCGGATGGATGGATGGTGGATGGATGGATGGTGGATGGATGGATGGTGGGTGGGTAGATGGCGGATGGATGGATGGTGGATGGATGGATGGTGGATGGATGGATGGTGGGTGGGTAGATGGCGGATGGATGGATGGTGGATGGATGGATGGTGGATGGATGGATGGTGGGTGGGTAGATGGCGGATGGATGGATGGTGGATGGATGGATGGTGGATGGATGGATGGTGGGTGGGTAGATGGCGGATGGATGGATGGTGGATGGATGGATGGTGGATGGATGGATGGTGGGTGGGTAGATGGCGGATGGATGGATGGTGGATGGATGGATGGTGGATGGATGGATGGTGGGTGGGTAGATGGCGGATGGATGGATGGTGGATGGATGGATGGTGGATGGATGGATGGTGGGTGGGTAGATGGCGGATGGATGGATGGTGGATGGATGGATGGTGGATGGATGGATGGTGGGTGGGTAGATGGCGGATGGATGGATGGTGGATGGATGGATGGTGGATGGATGGATGGTGGGTGGGTAGATGGCGGATGGATGGATGGTGGATGGATGGATGGTGGATGGATGGATGGTGGGTGGGTAGATGGCGGATGCGCGAGATGGCAACATAAGTACATTATCTAATACGAGTCCCGAAGTCCTCCTGCGGGAAGAGAAGGCCGCGGGGCTGTGCTTTGCCCCAGAATCAGTGACGTCCCACTTCAGAACCGCCCCCCCCTCCCCCGAGCCCTGCAACGTTATTTTCGTTCGTTAAACTCATCGTGGCAAAGTGATCAAGGCGGAATGTCTGATTATATCGATTCTACTGCTTTTTTGTTTTTTGGGGTTTTTTTTTTTCAAATTTTTAACAGCTCTTAAATCCACGAGGAGTACACTCAGTGGAGTGTCACAGTTTAATTAACAGGTGTTCCCGCCCCTTCTTAGTGGAACGTAAGATAAGGGCCCATCTCACAAGCGAAAGTTTCTTAGTGCTGAGATAATAATAATAATAATAATAATAATAACGCCGCGCTCAGCCTTTAATAGGAGCCGAGTTATTTTAATCCTCACGACAGGTACTATTCGTACTATTGTTACTGCCCTCATTTTACAGATGAGGCAACTGAGTCACACAGGTGCAGCAACCTACCCACCGTCACACCTGGAAAGCACAGGCGCCAGGATTTGAATCCTAAGAATGGCTAATCACAGCCTTACCTACTGGGTTTATTCCTCCGCAGAGCCCTGGGGGACATAATGGTGACCGCCACCGTAGCGATGGCAAAACAGGACCCGAGGAGCCAGGAGGAGTAGCTCGCTCAAAGTCACAAAGCTCACTTCCCAAAGACGTGGCCTGGTTCTCCTTGTCTATAGGCCAGGTGCCCAGCAGGTGAGGCTGGAGCCGGGAGCAGAGGGGAGGGGCGCCTGCATCTTCTCATCTTTAAACTGGGGCTTTAGCCCCTTCCACGTGCCAAGCGATGCTCTACGTGAGGTCGGGACTGTTACTCTCACCCGTTACAGATGAGGAAACCGAGGCGGGCAGGGGTGTATCCCCTCGCCCAAGGTCCCTCAGGCAGCCTGGCTCCATCGGTGTCCTCTATGCTAAAATGCCCTCCTCTGTCACCAGCCCCCACCTCGTGGGCTTATTCTGAGTTAAATGAGTCATTAAGATGGAGAGTATTACTGTCCAAAACAGAAGTCACCCATCACATGTGACGCTATGACTGAGGAACTGGAGTTTTACATTTATTTAAACCAATTTAAATTTAAACACTGATCCTCGATCGAGCTATTGGGAAGCTTAAGCGCGTTTGGACTAAGTAGGATCTGTGTTCTTTTTCGACTGTAAACAAACTTTAAATACAGACCACATCCACTGAACATATAGCATCTGAGTTAGACATGCTACACACCTGGCTTTTGGAGCCTGAGTATGAAAAAAGGAAGTGAAATGTCTCCTAAATAGTTTTGTATTGATTACATACGGAAATGATAATATTTTGGGTAGCACACTGTATAACCACGGCTCAGCACCTGCCACCTTGTTCGCTGTGGCCTGCGCATTGAAACTGGTGTTCACATTTTTAAATGGTTGGAAAAAGTCAAAAGAAGAAGAATATTTTGTGGCACATGAAAATTATATGAAATTCAAATTTCAGCACCCTCGAAGCAAGTTTTATGGGCACACAGCCAAAGTCATCTGTTACATACTGTCCGTGGCTGATTTCACACTGTGCCAAAGTTTAAGCCGCAAATATTCACTATCGGGCCGTGTATAGAAAACATTTGTTGACCCCTGGTACAGTGGGTTAATTAAAATATATCATTAAAATTAAATTCACCCGTTTCTGCTTACTTTCTGTAATGTGCCTCCTAGAAAATTTGAAATCATGTCTGTAGTTCATGTTATGTTTCTGTAGGGAAGGTGGAGCTATCAGCCTGGCGCTAGTAATCGCTCAATACTATCAAGTACTATCATTTCTTCTGGGGTCCTCCCGCTCTGTCCCTTTGTCCCACACGGAGCCCTGCCTGAGCTTCTGGCGACGGCCCAATGCATGCCAGGGAGCCCAGACATGGGTGGGCGTTTGTAGGATTTAACGCCAACCACACACACAAGCACATGTGCATCGGTTGCGGACACCCCCGCCACATATACTCACACGTGACAAGGGACACACAGAGTGTGCCCACTTAGGAAAACACTCGTGTCCCAGAAGATGCCCCAGACACCTGTTCTAAAGGAGAACTTAAAGCAGAGACCCCCACCGACAGCCACATAAGTTAACTTGGGGACATAAGCCCTTCGCCCTTCGGCAGACACCGGGGAGCAAGGAGCGGCCCATGTGACAACAGACAGGCCGACACCCGCCCTTGCGTCTGGAGCTACGGGATAGAGTTTCAGAAGAAATAATAACAGTAGA